CCATGGCCGCCCCATGGCCGCCCCATGGCCGCCCCATGGCCGCCCCATGGCCCCATTGCCACGGAGCGGCACGGAGCCAGGCCGTTGCGGCGACGTGATTGCACAGAACGCCTCGGAGCGAGAGGAGACCGAGCGAGCGACCCGAGGGGGCCAGGGACGGTCCGTAGAGGTGCCGAACGAGGTCGCGGCTGCTTTCGGCTCGCTTTCCTTTGTCGTGGAATTTCTGTCTTCTGAACAAGGAAAGGCAGAGCAGCCTCCACAATTTGTTGGAGACTAGTAACTAGGACGCTATGCTCGGTGGAGGCCATACTCAAGCTGGATGGGGCAACAACTTGAGTGAATCCTGAAATCGTTTGGGGTCAAGAATCGCAGCCCCGCTTTGGTGCGCATCGTTTTTGGCTCTGGCGCGCATTTGGCCACATAGTGTTCGTTGGCTCGGCGCGAGGAGTTCAATGTGGCGGAGGCTTTCTTAGCCGCAGCGGATGAAATCAATTGCGCTCATCTGAGCTTGCTGTGCCACAGAAAACTGATTGGTGAACGCATTCAGTAACTCATCCGTCTTCAGACCGCCTTGATGCGAGAGACTTCAGTGAATTGGTGGCCACACAGTGGCACGGTGTGTTCAATTGGCCAATCGTCGCTCTCAGGCCCCGGGCATGTGCTCATCACCAAGCCTGTGGAGCTTGGTGCTCAGAGTTCGGGTGTTTGTTTGGGAAGGTGTGACAATTTGGGTCAAGGCACTCTCCCAACGAATCCTAACGGCCTAACTGCAGCATGTGGAAGTGTCTTCTTGTTATCGCCGGCACAGAAGTAGCTTTGAATGTTCTTGCAAGCTTTGGCATACCACCCGCTTGTCTCAACCACTCAGCCCCAAAAAAGAGCTGTGGAAGCTCGGCAGCAAGAGAACTTGATCCCTAAAGGAGCTTGGCCGAAACGGAGCTTGCTTCCAGTCGACTTTCTTAGTCATAGTCTTTCTTTGTCACCGGAATGAGGCATGGAGGCTACATCGTTTCGGAGACACAGGCCCAAAGCCAGGGGAAAAGATGGTGGGCACAGCGGCTCAGATGGTCTGACCGTGGCGTCTGATGGTGGTCTAACCGTTAGGGCGTTCAAAGCGAATGTGAAGGGACTCTGAATCTCTTCTGGAATCGTTTTTACCTGTTCCTTTGTCCAGCCCACACATGTTGGCCCAGCAAAACAGAAGCTCGTATCTTCGACAGTATCAATTAGTATCAATGGTCCTTATGTACTCGGTTCGCTTTGTGGGCATGAGTCCACAATCTTTACACTGCGTGTGTCATGTGACTTGGCCCGTCTGGGTGTGACGCTTCCAGGTGATGGATCCTGAAAATCGGAGGAGTCGCATCCATTATGCCACCCGGTTTCGATTCGTTAGATGCCGCCACGGATGGAGAGGCTACGTCCGCCTGAAGAGGCACGTGTCTGTTTTTTTCCCGGTTTTGGATCTAGTGGAGCCATGACGAGCCAGCATTCCAGAAAGCATTCGTCTCGAGATCCTCAGAGCAGTGCAACTGTTGAACATACTAATTCAACCTCTTTGGGCACCATCACATATGGTGGAAGGAGGGAGGAGCATTGAGTGGTTTACTCACCAAAAGGTCCTTCTTTTCGGAACCCATCCGTTTCAACACGTCAGCTACCCTCAGCTGTGTTGAGCCTACCCAACGGAGCCAACGGTTTGGTTTAAGCCCTGCCAGGCAACACATAACACATCATGACACCTTCCCCCGCACCAAGGTGCAGGATTGATTGCGCCGGACCCTGCTCCTGCGGAAAAGGAAACAGATGACCCACTGTTTGGAAAGGAACATCATGTCCAAATCCTGATGTTGCCATGTCGGAGATGGCATGGATCTTGCTAAGTCCAAGGAGCTTGGGGCACAAATGACTCAAGTTTTTATGGGTTAGGAGTAGCTTGGCAAAACAGGAACTTGCAGACAAACAGGTTGAGGACATGGCTGCTTTTTGGTGGTGTGTCCCAGAGCTGCTTTTTGGCTGCTTGTTTTTGATGGCAAGATGGTCCTGGAGCCGGGTTCTTGTGCAAGGTCAGCCCATAGAAGGCGTGACCAGCAAGGGCATTTGTGGGCACTAGGCACTAACCTGTGGGCACACCATTTGCACTGCAACCTCTTCCATACCCCATCAGCAAGCCTACGACAAAGGGATAACCAACGCTTTGCCAGATAGCCTTAGATGTTCAACTCGCTGCTGTCCAATCTACTGGCTGAAGGCTTAAACCATTTTTTCAACCTTTGACCTCTTGCATAAGCCCTTTGCTCAACGGTTCCTCGTCGCTGTCGAACAATCTGAGATTGGAACACGCACGGTAAGGAGCACCTATGGCAATCACAATGGCAGAAACCTCCCGAACGAATCCACCTATCTTTTTTCAAGTTCAACGCCTCCTTAGTTCGCAATGGTGGCGAAGAAGGCAGCTAACAGCGGGCAGAAAGAGGCCAGATATAGCCAGCCGATCGCCTGTGGGCAAGCGACTGGTCTTAGGGCGTCTCCTTAGGGCGTGAGATCTGCAACCTAAAGTTCAGAAACGCAACCTGATCGACTGGCATGTTTGTTTTGCATGTGGTTTCATCATATCCACCCGGAGGTGGTGAAGACTCCTGAGAGAAGAGATCTCAGCCAATGCATGCCCAATGATACGAATGCAGTTCAACAGCTTGTCACTCATAAAGGGGGAAGGTCTTCAGCGTGGGATGATTGGCAGATCCGCGTGAGTGCCTCTGGGCTTTTGCAGGCGAGCCGTGCATCGCTGCCAAAGCCCCAGATTTACTCTTCTTGTTACTAGTAGCTACTTGCTCCTAGTAGTACGGCCAGGAGCCCCTAGTAGCGTTCTTGCTCCTAGTAGCGATGCCCTTTGCTGCTAGTAGCTTCTTGTTACTAGTAGCTTCTTGTTACTAGTAGCGGTGGCCTCCACCTAATAGCGTCCTTGCTACTACTCCCTGAGCTTTCGGGAAGATTGCTTATTGCTTTGCCTTCTAAGACGTTTCATGTCTGTGTGCAGATGAACTCGCACGGACGGTAAGCAGGACAAGTGCAAAGAGCAACCCTTTCAAGTGTCCTATCACACAAGCGTTGCTTTGCATGCTCACTGGAGGCAGATATTTTTGGATTCGTTCGCTGGCACTCGGTCTTCCAAGCGTTACGCGAGCACCTAAATTCGAGGCCAAAGTTGCAGAAGTCTGCCTCTGCTCCAGTTGCCAGGACCGAAGTGAAAATGGCAGGGCGTTTTTTTGTGTTCATGTGGTGTTCCATTTCTCTGCATGTAGACCGCTGCTCCTCTTCAGAGACGATTGACGTGGTCTTTCAGAGATGGATCTTTGAGTCCACGCCCATGGCCCACCGGTGCCCAGACTTGAGCATCTGACTTGCGCCAGCATCTGCCGCTCCCACGTTCCATGGCCGCCCTCCTCGCCGTCGCCGCGGCCTCGGTGGCCGTCGCGGCCGCAGATGCGGCGGCCTTCGCGCGGCGGCCGCCACCCCGGCTGCAGGTCCGAGAGCTGGCGCTGCGGCCGGCGATCGGCGAGGCGGAGGCCAGTGGCTTGGAGCGACCGGACCGCTGGTTCCAGGGGGAGGCTGGTGAGCTAGTGCTGGTGCTGCTGGTGCTGGTGGTGCTGGCTGAGGCTGGCTGAGGCCGGCTTGTGGTGTAGCTGTGTGGCAGTGCGTAGCTTTTGGTCCATAGTTGAGGGTTTGGGTCTGGAGAGACTTGCGGACGAAGCTGATCATCGTTATTTATAGAAATCCTTCAATTCAGAACTTCCTCCTGGAAGAACTTCGTCCTTCAACAGTCGTAGCAGCATGTTCCGAGACTTCTCCTTTAGGACCAACTTCTTCTTCAGGAACTCAGCACCACTCACAGAACCTGAGTGCTGAGGTCATTGGGGCATTCAAGATGGTTTCGAGGGCGGTCGATTCCTCAAGACCGACGACGGGCTCTACCATTGCTTCCCCTCCGAGCGCATGCGCCGCGGCACGGGGCAGGGCAACGGCACGCTGCCATCGGATCTGGTGATGCAGATCGGCCATTGGGCTTCGGACGCTCGGCGGCCTCCAACCTAGGAGCGATGGCCTCCAAGCTTAAGAGGGATAAACCCTGGGCAGTTAGAAGCTGTATAGCTTCTGAGATTGTTGTGGTTCGAATGTCCAGGGCAGAGCATTTCTTCCCCTCATGGTCAAGACAGCTATTTTTGCACCAGAAAGGGCTCCTCCAATAACTTGGTGCCACAACCGCCACAAGCCTGGCTAACTTCAAACCTCCCCAAAAACCATCAAAAACCCACTCAGTTACCTCAACACGTGCTCGCGCTAGGCCACAGCTCGACCTGGCAGCTGGTACCGCGTGGGCACCTTGGTACGCTCCACAGGTCTTTACAACGCCTCCGGGGTTCACAGCTCCACCTGGGCGGGGATGCCTGTCTACGACGACGAGACTCGGTGGGGGACGAACAGGTGCGACCAGTGTAGGGCGACCAGTGTAGGATAGGCCCGTTGGTGTTGCGACACCGCTTCAATCCCAAACCTCTTATACTTATACCTACTGTAACTGATCCAAGGCCTAACACAAGTGTTTCTAAGATGGGTGCATGCAAAAGCCGGCAAGTGTTACAGTTCAGGACACTCGCCGCTGGCACCTCTTCTACGTGGGCTACCGCTCAGCGCCCATGAACGGCAGCCACGCCTACGTGCAGTTCGGCGGCGTCATCGTGCACGCGGTCTCCAGCGTCCCTGGCCCTGGCGGCTTGGGTGGACCGTATGAGGCGAAGATCGGATACAGCTTCGATGGTTCTTGGTGAAGAGTCGGTTCTTTTTAAAACCATGGGTCATGTCAAGGTGAATGGGTTGGGATGTGTGGAGCAGAGAGATAACTCACAAGGATCAGGCAAACCTTTCGTATTTGGAGATCCTGACACAATTTGTGCATAACGCCCGTGTGACAGGAAACCGGGGTGGTGCTGAATGAGACCATGCCTGGCACCAATTTATCTTGGGAAGGTGACCAAGGTGACGATGCTTTTTTCCCTTACCGCTTGCGGAATGGTGAGTGGCAACTTGGATTTGCTCATGAGATGTGCAAAGCACAATGCCGCAAACCCCCCACAGCGCCCCATTGGTTGGTACAATTGGTTTCACCCTCGCCAGCCATGCCCCTCCTCTTCGGCCAATAAGGTATGGCTTCTTCGGGTCGGCGCTGAGCAGGAAGAAGACCGGAGGCAACGGAGGGCCTGATGGGTACAGCCTGGGACCTAGGAAAATTCTCTTGGACCTAGATAGTATATATCATTAGCTCATGATGTGTTGGTTCTAAATGAACATCGTTCCAATCCAAGATGCTTTCAGTTCCACCTCCCTGGCTTCTTTTTTTCCAGGCTGGAATGCCGACTGGCACGTTGGGCTGGCCACTGCCCCGCGCTTGGCGGGACCTTGGGCCAAGCGTCCAGGCAACCCGTTGCGTTTCGATGGAGCCGTGGAGAATCCCGTCGTGACCTTGACGCAGGAGAGATCTGCTGTGTGGAGGGTGGTGATGCACTTGTTTTCATATCTTCTATTTGAAATGCTCTTTGGGCACTCCCAAAAGTGCATCTTCTATTTGAACTAGTTCCTGAATATCTTCTATCTTTGTGGTAAAGAGTATAGCTTCTTGCTACTAGTAGTAATGGCCTCCAACCTACTAGCGATGGCCTCCAGCCTAATAGCGGTTTCTTGCTATTAGTAGTAATGCCCTCGTTACTAGTAGCGATGCCCCTGCTACTAGTTGCTTCTTGCTACTAATAGCGATGCACTTGGCGATGGTGTCAGAAATGGACATGACTTGAGTAGGGCTACGACCCATGCAAAGGCGACCCAAGAAGACAACTTGACACATGCTTCAACGAGTCAGGAAGCAACACATCAAGACAACGTTGAAGCTCGAATTCTCCAAACTGCTGCACTGCTGGCCACGAAGCAGCTTCCAACAGCTGCCGGCCCCACCACATTGATATCAAACTCCACACATCCAAAGGGACCTCTCCATTGCTTCTAGGAACAAGTGCCACGCTACTAGTAAGAGGTGCCTTACTAGTAGTAACAAGAAGCTATTAGTACCAAGTGCATCGCTTCTAGGAACAGAGTCCATTTGGGACAGTCGGGGGGGCACCGGCCACCGGCACCTCGCGGCACGGCAGTGGGGCAGGACGGTGAGTATTACATGGTGGTCTACTACCCGTTCGCCGGCTTTGTGGGCTTCACCTGGTCCAGGGACGGCGTCACCTGGAGCCGAGGCGCTGAAGCAGAGCGCAGAGCGGTTGAGAAGAGTGGTAGTAGTGAGTAGTAGTGGCAGTAGCGAAGGAGAAGGTGAGATATTGATGTTGAAAATGCGGTGAGATGACGATGCAACAAAGATGATTGTGCTGATTGAACCATGTCCTTTTCGGTGGATGAAAATTGCCCGCGTGAGATGGAAGGATTTGACTGGGCGCTTTTGCATCCTCTAAATGATGAACTCCAACAAAAGGGGTGGCATGCTCACAGCTCTTTTCCATTAAAATCCTGTACCACCAAACCGGATGCCTTGAGCTTTCTTCAGCCCATGAGCTACCTCTTCCGGCTTCCTCCGCAGGTGTCCATTTGAACGTCACGCCCCACGTGGATCCGCCTTGTGGTGGGACTCCGGTCACTGCCTTGGGCTTGGTGCCGGAGCCACAGCTGGGCCCTGGGATCTTCTCTTTACTCTTCACCGGTCGTGGCGCCTCGGCACGATCTGTGGAGGTCGAAGTTTCGGAGAAAAACCATTGAGGGATGAGGAGAGAAGGTTGGAGTCCAAGTTTGGACCTTTTTCTCTATGTAACACTTTTTTTTTTTTGCATATGCCATATGGTCGAAGCCAGTAGCAGCAACATGCACCGAATTAAAACAAGCCATTGTGGAACGCAGGCCCTCGCCCAGCTGAAGCATCAGTTGAACTTTCGAGCCCCTGCTTCCAAGCAAACAAATCAACAATGGATGCAAGACTTGATATGCCTACATCCTCGGATAAGTCGAGCAAAGGTGGGCTTGTGCACCTAACGGCTGAGTATGGTCCTCTAGCCATGCGCTCGCACACTCCAAACAAAAATATAAACGGGAACAGCAGCATAGACATAGCTGACCCGCCGCGGTCAGGTTTGGAAAACAAGCGCGGAATTTCAAATTGCATACGTGCCACGGTGTTCCTGCGGGCGCGCGCGCAGGCCATCACATTGGCACTTCCTACGCCCTGCGCATTTGCACAGCTCTCCTCGCATGTCCTTCAGGTAATCTCCGAAGCTTTGTAGAGTCGTTCGAGAACCACCACTACTTCCTCCCTGGTTGACCTGCATGTACTTCGAGTAGTCTCCGAAGCTTCGAAGGGTCATTTGAAAGCCACCATTCAAGGTGTTTTCACTGCTTGTTCTCTCGTTGCCCTCCATGTACTTCGAGTAGTCCCTGAAGCTTTGTTGGGTCATCTGAAAGCCACCATTCAAGGTGCTTTCACTGCTTGTTCCCTCGTTGCCCTGCATGTACTTCGAGTAGTCTCCGAAGCTTTGTAGGGTCAATTGAAAGCCACCATTCAAGGTGCTTTCACTGCTTGTTCTCCTCTCCTATCTCCAAGTCCAGAAACAGCCAGCACAAAGCAATCACTATGGCAAAAGGCGTGGCATATAGGCCACTGGGGCACGCGAGTTGTTCTTATCTTCAGCACTAGCAATCTCGAGCCCTTCTATGTAACACCTTCCAATAAACAACCCGGTGTTGGGTCTTGTTCTACGTCGTGTGGCTGGTTGGAGTGGAAGAGCCTTCAGAGGTCGCACCTCACCAAGGAAGAGGAGTGGACTGCGGCTGGGGAGGAGTTGGGGGAGTCAAGGGTTTTGTCCCAGGAACTAAAGCTCAAGCATCGATCTCCCTAAACTCGGCTGATCCACTCCGGAGGGTCCCAAAAGGCTTTGATAGTTTAATCTAAATTAATAGCTTCTTGTTACTAGTAGTAAGGCACTTGTTACTACTAGCGTGGCACTTGTTACTAGTAGTAACAAATTAAGCTATTTTCAAACATCTTCAAACGATTGTAGGGGAATCCCATCCCACGCAGCACATCTACCGCAGAACACCCTGTCTTCTTGAGAGACATTAAGGTCTCCCCGAACTCCTCGTGCGTTCAGAAGGACGCCTTCCGTGCTTGTTGAGCTGAGAGCAATAAAGCCCTCACA